AACAAATATGAAGGACTGAAGTCTGTCACTCAACAATACCAATTGTTCCTGTTGTGGATAATTGATATCAGATGCTGCTGCACCCCACCTAATTTTAACGTAGGCCTAATTCTTGGGCGTGGTTCTGTAGAAAATAGTATCGAATGCACGCCATCGTGCATTCATTTGATTTTAGTCGGATTCAAAATAAATTTTTAACATTTAAAAAAATCATAATGTGGTTTTTCTATTTCAATTTTTTATGATTAGGTCTACAGTATGTACTCATGTTTTATGTCAGTGTTTTAACGTGAACAAAATTAAGCATTAATATATGTGTTTTTCTTAATTATTAAGATTGCTTAAATTGTTAATGTTACAATTGTCAGATTTTATTTCATTCTGTAAGTGGCGGGTTTTCTCTGTTGAATAAGAGTACAGTGTGAAGAAATGTATACAACGATCTCACGACGATGTGACGATGATCAGAATTTTACTAAAATATACTGTGTACTTCATTTTAATCATATTGAAGAAAAAGGATGCAAAAACTGTAATACCGTATTTACATTTAATTTTATTATAAATAACTTGTGGCCGAGTTGACTTGTGGCCGAGTTGACTTGTGGCCGAGTTGACTGCAGCCGAACTTTTTGTGGCCGAGTTGATTTGTGGCCGAGTTGACTTGTGGCCGAGTTGACTGTGGCCGAGTTGACTTGTGGCCGAGTTGACCTGCACCCATATATATATATATATATACACTTATATTTATACTTATATTTATTTAGGCCAGCATAAACACCAATACACCATGTCATTTTCAATACATATGTGTATTGAAAATGACCAAAATTATCATCTTTGTTTTTTGAGAACTAATAAAATATTGATGCATCTTTCTGGCTAGTATTCTCCCGATCGCCAAGTCTGCACGGTTTTACGTTCGCGAAATTCGTGAAAAAAAGTAAAGTAAATCCAGACATACAGCTACTGTCTTTTTTCATTATGGTCGGATTTTGGTTTAAAACATTTTATGTTTTAAATAAATAACATTAGATTCAGAAATTGTGTATACTTTCTGAAATTTGACCATGATTAGAGCAGTATTGGCTGAACTGTGTCCGATTTTCTCCTCCTAACAAGGTCTTGTTTACTCATTGTGAAGGCCGTTTAGGCAGCATGCAGGCAATTAGCAATCAATCATCTAACCCACCAGTGACCGTTTCTTCTAAGGGGAAGACTTTCGTCATGATATGTTTTGAAGAGCTATAGAACTGATGTAAAAACAAATGTATGTCATGACTGGATGACAAAAACAAACTCCCTAGGTAGGGCTAGGCCCTAGGCCTAGACAGACCTGCTGGGTTAGGCTTAGGCCTACTCTAGACCCCTCTCCCCTCTAGTAAGCCAGGCTAGCATAGGCTTACTTGCTTGATACATTTCGATATCCTTGCTTCTCAAAGGACAATTTTTAAATTATACCTCAACATTTACAAATCTTATTAGGCCTATACCAAACTGATTTTCTTAACATGCGTAGGCCCGTGCGACCGTTTCCAGGCCAGGCTTGGTAGATGGGGCCTAACTAGACCGCTGCCGCACTGCCACTGACCCATTCAAAGACACTAGCTTAGACCTACTAGTTAGGCCTATGACAAGGGTGATTCATGACAAGCACAGTTAGCAATACGTACCGTCGTAAAATCTTCTCACTCCTATGTCTCTTCCTTCTCCAATCTCGCCCGATTTGAAAGCATCAAACAATTCATTATAACGGTGGTGTCACTGGGGATATTTTTTGCGAACCAGCCCTTCAAAACATGTATTCCCCCTTTATTTGCATTACAATTAGGCAGTGTGTGACCAGCGCAAAAAATGACATTCTGCTAGGGGCAGCAAAAAATTCTGCTAAATCATCCCACACTGTCTATTACACTATATTACACTTCAAAATGCTGATGAGCGGGGGAGAGGTGGGTAGGTAACAATTGACGACTGAAGAAGCAAATAAAAAAAAATAAATAAATCAAAATAAAAAATAAAAAAATCAATTAATTTCAGCTTTTTTTGTTGTTGTTGTAAATGACCAAATAAATAATGAAGTGAAATGAAATAAATTATTTTTTAAATTTTTAAATTTAAAAAATCAAATACAAAAATTTATTGTAGGAGTTGATAAGTAAACCACACCGCTGCTACCGCTCCAATCTATTTTAAAAGAAACAATGGGCATTAAATAGATCCATAGTCTAACACATTTTGGGACCATGTACTGTAAGTAGGCCTATTTCTTACAGATTTTTTGGATGATGTGTTACATACAATTCATATGATG